AAAGAAAGAAAGAAAGAAAGAAAGAAAGAAAGAAAGAAAGAAAGAAAAGGGAAATGCTGGCAGCAGGCCTGTTATGCAGCAAACTAATAAAACTGAAAAACTCTAGAAGTACCTTAAGAGATAAGCATAAGGATCTGAGTTCAAATCCCCACTACTCATGTAAAAAGCTGGGTACTGCTGAATGCTCCTATAACCCCAGCATTCTGAAGGGTGGGCTCTAGAGTATTTCTGAGGCTTGTTGGCTGCCAGGCAAGCCCCAAGTCTGGTGAGATACACTGTCTCAAAGGAACACTTGACAGCATCCTCCTCTGAACTCTGTGATGATCCCCAATCCCAACCCCCCAGCCCCCTCCATACCCCCACCCCCACTCCCAGTCCCCGCCAGTTTGGCAGAACATGGAGTAGCTCATGTGTGTGGCTCAACCACAGTAAGTGATTCAAATGAGGCGGGCCTAGCTAAAGTATGCACATGTGGAAACAGCACATCTGGCCCTGAAGGAACAGTTTTTGGCATTACCGGCCACACCATCCTCCATCAGGCAGAGGATGCCATTCCTAGGTAAATGTGTGCCTGGCATATTTGAGGCCCCAGCTTCCACCTCCAGAACCACAAGCGAAAAGCCTCCCAGTTTGATTCAGCCATTCACCCTTGTAGAAATATTCCATAACGTCACATTGTACCCTATAAATATGTACAACTAAAATTTATCATTTTGATAAACTGTGGCTGGGCGAGGTAGCACACAGCTTTAACTTCAAATTTTGGGAATCAGAGATAGGCATTTCTCTGTGAGTTTGAGGCCAGACGGGTCTACCAAGCAAGGTCCAGTCTAGCTAGCGCTACATAGTGAGGCCCTATCGCAAAGTTTAATTAATTAATTAACCTAAAACTTAAAAAATAGGGCCAGCACACACTTTTAATCTCAGCACTCAGGAAGCCAAGGCAGTTTGAATTCAAGTCCAGCCTGGTCTGCATAGCAGGACTACACAGAAAAACCCTGTCTTGAAAACAAAACAAAATTAAATAATTACATAAATAAATAAATAAATAAATAAATGGAAATAGAGCTGAGGGTATAGCCTGAGATACACCTTATCTCAAATAAATAAATAAATCTACATGTTAAATATATATAATAAATATATCTTTATAAGCTTATAAATAAAATATATATACATAGTGAGCTAGAGCCATGTCTCAATGGTTAAAATTATTTACTGTCCTTTCAGAGAACCTGGCTTTAGTTTCCAGCACCTCCATAGTGTTCACAACTGTCTGCATCTGTATCTCCAGTCTCAGGGGATCCAATGCCCTCTCTTGACCTCCATGAGCAACAGGTACAAATGTGGCACACAAACACACATGCAGACAAACGAACAAACAACCTCATACACATAAGATAAATCTTTTTAAAAAGATAAATGAAATGAAGAAGAAACACTTTAGGGACAGCTGTACGGCTCGGTGGTAGAGCACTTTCACGGTTCGTGTATGGTATGGAGTTTCATTACCAGCAAAGGAATGGAAGGAAAGCAAGGCTCTGCGAATAGAGCTAGTATGTAATGAAATATCAAATAAAATAAGTAGTCCATATGTGGGCAGAGGTGTTGTTTTATCGGACAGGCCTCATGGAGCCCAAGCTGGCCTCAAACACGCTCTGTAGCTAAGGATGAACTTCAATTTCTGATCCTCTTGCTTCTGCCTCCCAACTGAGATTACAGGCCTGTGCCACCACACCCGAGTTTATGTGGTGCTAGGGATCAAACCCAGTACCCTTTAAATGCTAGACAAATGCTCTACCAATAGGGCATATTCCTAGGCCTCAAAATAAAATTTCAAAAGAAAAAAATTCTTATTCATAATGGAATTATTTTTTAATATTTATTTATGTATATGAGCGTTCTATCTGCCTGTATGCCTTCATGACAGAAGAGGGCACCAGATCTCATCATAGATGGTTGTGAGCCACCATGTGGGTGCTGGGAATTAAACTCAGGATCTCTGGAAGAGCAGGCAGTGCTCTTAACCACTGAGCCATCTCTCCAGCCCTCATAATTATAAGGAATTATAAGGTATAAGAAATATAAACACAATCTCTTTCTCTCTTTTGGGAATTGGGTTGAGACAGGGTTTTTCTGTGTAGCCCTGGCTGCACTGGAACTCTTTTTGTGGGCTAGGCTGGCCCCTCAAACTCACAGAGATCCACCTGCCTCCTCCTCCCAAGTGCTGGAGTTCAAGGTGTGCACCACCATACCTGACTTGCAATGTCCCTTTCTTTTAAAGTTTTTTAAAAAGATTTGTTTATTTACTTTTATGTATATGAGTGCTGTTTTCATGCACACCAGAAGAGGGAATCAGAGTCCCTTACAGATGGTTGTGAGCTGCCATGTGGCTGCTGGGAACTGAACTCAACCTCTGGAAGAGCAGCCATTGCTCTTAACCGCTAAGCCAACTCTCTAGCCCAGCAATGTCCTTTTTTCAAAACAAGAGTTTCTGACAGTCACAGTAAGTACAGCCTGAAACGAAGTTGTTGGAGCTCAGAGCCTGGGCCCTTAGTGACCTCCAACACTGATCCCCAGGGAGCCAGCCTTATCCTCCCCACTCCATGAGTGTGGCTCCCCACATACAGAACCCGCTATGGAGCCCAGGCTGGCTTCAGACTCATGCACCAATTTCCAGCCTTCCAAGTCTGGGATTTCGTGTGTGCACTGCCCCACAGATTCTTGCTACCCTTCGTACAGAGTACTCCTTCCGCCTGGTACAATCTTCTGTTTCCCTCTCATGCTTCGGATCCCCAGAGAAGCTCTCCCTGATTCTCCCAGCCTGAGAAGAGTGGCCTTTCTGCTCAGCTGGTCATCCTTCATCCAGTACATCTGTCCCCTGCCATTCTTACACACAAATTCATAATGTGCCGTGAATTCAGGGTCTGTTCCCTTCCCAGACTGTGAGTGACTGGAGGACAGAAATCATATTTCTTTAATCCCCCCGCCCTGACCTCACCTCAGCTACCTCATAGTAGGTACTCAGGAAACATTTATTAAGTGTGAGCTTTAAGTTATTTTTTCTTTAATTACAGCCAGGCAGTGGTGGCACACACCTTTAATTCCCAGCACTGGGGAGGCAGAGGCAGTCAGATCTCTGTGAGTTTGAGGCCAGCCTGGTCTGCAGAGTGAGTTGCAGGACAGCCAGGGCTACACAGAGAGACCCTGTCTGGAAAAAAGTTATGTGTATCTTTGTATGGGTATACGCACTTGCAGTGTTGCGTGTAAGGATACTCAAAGGCCAGAATGAGGCTCCGGGCCCCGTGGAGCTAGACGGTTGTGAGCCACCCATGATATAACATTTCTTGCTTCACCTCAGAGCCATCTCTAGGGCCCCTGAATGTGAGCTTTTTGAGACTGATACCATCATCCTTTACAAATAAGGAAGCCTAGAGAGAGGAAATGACTTGTCTGAGGTCACAGTGAGAAAGGAGATGGCACTCCAACCTGGGTCAGAATGGTGCTGACTCACTCCTGCCAGAACATTCACCCACTCCTTTTTTGTTAATTTTATTTATTTTTTTGTGTGCGTGTATACACACATGCACATCATATATGAGTGAGTAGGGGTCTGAGGACAACTTGTTCGAGTCCGTTATCTCCTTCTACCATGTGGGTTCCAGGGAAGTACCTTTTATTCACTGAGCCATCTTGAGGGCCCCACCTCTTTCTCAAGTAACCAAAACACAAAGTGTACTAACTGGACAGCCTACAAAATTAGCCTCAAAGAGATTTCACAACAGAAGACACCCATGTCACCAGCACTGAAACGCAAAAAAAAAAAAAAAAAAAAAAAAAAAAAAAAAAAAAAAAAAAAAAAACAGAGCATGTTAATTTAGGTTGTGTGAATATCGTATGCTTTTAAAAATAGATCTGGAGTGGGGGCTGGAGAAATGGCTCAGTGGGTTAAGAGAATATACTCCGAAACCCAAGTTTAGTTCCCATCCCTTATATGGGGCAGCTAACAAAAACCCAAGACTGTAGCTCCAGAAGACACCTATGCTTCTGACCTCTAGAGCACTCTCCCTCCCTCCCTCCTCCCCCCCTCTCTCTGTCACACACACACACACACACACACACACACAGAGTAGGGGTGCATTGTAAATACTGGTCTGGAGTCAAGGTGATTAATTTCAGCATTCAGGAGACCGAAACAGGAACATCAAAGGTTCAAGGCTAGCCAGCCTGGGCTACATGGGAGCCTTGTGTAGAAAAAAAAAAAAAAATCAGGCTAAAAATGTAGATCAGCTGATAAAACCTTCATGTAACACAAATGAAACCCTAGGTTCAAGGAGGGGGGAAGGAATAAAACAAACAAAAACAAACGAAAGGCTGGATATCCTGTGCAAACCTCTAATCCCAGCACTTGGGAAACAGTGGCAGAAGGATCAGAAATTGACCAGCGTTGTCTACATACCAAGTTCAAGACCAGTCTTGACACAATAAACACACACACACATACACGTTTGAGACAAAAGAAACCATCTTCCAAAAGTCCCCTTTATGTCCTCACTCAACCACCAGCCCCTCGGGATAAAACAAATTCTCTGACTTTTAAAAAGATTTATTTTATTATCTTTGATTGTGTGTTTGTGTATGTGCGCGCTCATGTGCACATGCTTGTGCAAATGGATACAGATGCCCAAGGAGGCATGGGATCCCTCAAATCTGGAATTATAGGCAAGTAGTAACTGTCATAGATTTAGGGAACTGAACAGTTTCTGGTCTTCTGCAAGAGCAGGAACACACTCCACTCCTGAGCTGACTTTCCAGCCCCAGTTCACTGGCTTGAATATTCATATGCTTGATTCTGAAGTTTTCAGTTTTTTTTTTTTTCTTGTCTTTCTTTTTTATTCTTTGAAACAGGGTCTTGTAGCACAGCCCTGGCCACCCTTGAACTTGTAGAAAAGCTCCTGCCGCAGATTGAAGTGCTGGATTTTTAAGTATG